GAGCCAGTCGAGCCAGTCGAGCCAGTCGAGCCAGTCGAGCCAGTCGAACCAGTCGAGCCAGTCGAGCCAGTCGAGCCAGTCGAGCCACGCGCCAAACAGACTAAGCAGCTAGAGAGGTACACCAGGTTGATATCCTCTAAAAACCTTTTTGGTATAGCCACGGATAATCATAGAGATATCCAATATACATATACAATTAACCGCGGCATGTTTGTGGGATTGGAGCAAGAAGATGACAGCCAGCGGAGAGTCAGCAACGCAACATGGTCGATTGTGGGGGTGTGCGGGGACCTCCTTTCAGGGAAGGAGAACGGAGTAGTTTTGGGCGCTTGCGTTCCTCACAGCGCCATGTTGACAGGCTGAACGTTGGTTTGTCTCTAAACAGTGCGCCGCTGAGCAAGGGAGATCGGCCCTGTGGCTTTCATTTCGCCCCGCACGCAGGTTGCCAACTGTTCCGCTGCTTCATTGGGTGAGCTCGACTGTCACATCACTTGCTTGAGGCAAGCGGCGTGCAGAAGCTCTGACATCCCACGCGGCGACGACCGCGGTTGCCAGCGCATGCAGCCACCAGAAGTTCGGATGTGCGCCTTTCATCTGAATAACGAAGCATTGAAACCCACGCCCAGTAATAACACCAAAAACCTCGGCCACAATCAAAGCCCTTATCGCCGCGAGAAACGCACGCAGGGAACAAATGTCAGTAGCTAGCCCAGTCGCGAGGGCAACTGTGTAGGACACAGACCTGTTCCTGTCCCCCTAAAAGGTCGCACAGAACGGACAGCTGCGGAAGTCAACACGCTGCGACCACATTCCAGCACCTGAAAAATCATTTTGGAAAAATCCTGAGTCGTAGTGATCACACTGTTCACGCTTTAGACACTACAACATGCACCTTGAAGCAACTGCATGCTCCAAGTAACTTGCTCTCGCAAAGACAGGTTCCCAGCATGCTGTTCTCGCAGCGCAGCGCTCCACTCTTTGGTTTTTCATGTCCGGATGGTGTCGTCTTAGAGTTCACACACGTGCATCTAAACCTCCACGTTCTAGAAGCTGCACAGGCACTCCCGTTTTCACTGCCTGAGAATGCAAAGCTTTGAGGTCTCGTTTAGTTTTCAAGATGCACGCTTCGAGCCAAACCGGTTCCGTTAGAGCACGTGCAAACAGGACATGAACAAGTACATGAGCCGTGCGCAATAACTTTGAAGATTGTCCGCGTGCACACCCCTACCGCGTGCACTTGGAGTTTCAAGCTCTTCGAGCCAAAGACGTTCGTATCATTCCACCACCAGCAAAGAAGGAACAACATCAAACTATCTTAGAATTTGTTCCCTCTCGAGTTAGTGCATCACCTGCGGTGACGGCTACAAAAGAAACAGGTCAAGGTGCACAATTCCAGCAACCATAGGCAGCAATTTGACTTTGACCCTGCACCTCTTTGCAGCACAATGACACATCGATTTCAAGGCCTCAAGAATGTTTGGTCACTAAAATCCGCAAAGTAATTTTGTTCATGAGTGTCCACTTCTGTTTCCGCACAGACGTCCAAAGGTTGGGTGGAACCAACTCCATCCAGCTGATGCCCAAATCGAAGCCGGTTGGCCTGTGGGGCTGTGGGAGGAGGTGGCCAAAGGGCGCCGAGGGCAGATGTCATGGGCGGGCTGGTGCAGCCGGCTGGTAGCGAAGGCTTGCATGGCTGCGGCTGATCAGGGGCAAAACGCCGGTCAAGGGGTCTTGCCTGCAGAGCATCAGGACAGATGAAATCGGGCAAGGTTGTGAAGGCCGCCAGGTAGTGGTGGTGGTCGCGGCAGCGAAGGGGAGGACCAGCAACGGACCGGCAATTCCGCCCAAGAGGCCCTTGCGGGAAGAGGTCAAACTCCCAGCTTCGTGCGGGAGGAGATGTGATGGCGAGGCGCTGGTGGGCGGCATGGGGTCGGTGGGTGAGATATGTGGTTTGGAGGGGGAAGGCGGTCGCGAAGGATTGGGAGGCAGCGGTGGTGTTCAATGAAGGCAGGCAAACCGAATGAGTACCTTGGTGGTGTGCGGGGAGGCCCGGTTGCCTACCCACACTTAAAACCCAAGGATCTCGGTGCCAGGCTGTGGTTTGCAGGTTTTTCCAGCGCGTAAATGGATGGGGGCATGGGCGGCGAGGTGGTGGAAAAGGAGTTGGTACGCGGGTTGGACTCACGCTGGTGACACAAAGGCGCAAATGGTCTCGCCCTCTCTGGGTTACAATTCAAATCCAACCATAACCATGGCACATATTTAATACTTGGGTTCCCCACTTCACTAGTTCCACGTCAACTCCCTTTTCTCAAACACACAAGCTTACTACACTACCAATTGTTTTTTCAGGCATCTATAACCAACTACACTGCTAAAGTATGTTAATCCGATATAAGACCACATTTACACTTTCTTGTTTGGCAGCAATATCAATACTCTGCGCAGGTACCCATCAACACTCATTCCAACGACGAAACAGACTAATTCGTACACGTCAAATGAGAATTCTCCAATTTCTCTACTTTGTTGATGGTGGCATCTCATCTATTATGTAATATTTGATCAGACTGGAATTCCAGGTTGAATCTCTCGAGAGTACAAACAGGACATCTGATAGACATCACAACGCCAGACTCTCGAGCAATGAATACTTCTATTCACACAAGCCGCTTGGGGCTCACCTCTACGGCAAGGGAAGTTTTCACGAAAGCCCCTTCCCTCTCTTGCTTGACATTCTTAGGTGGTTCTTAAGTGGTTACAGTACAGTTTCATTGTATATTTAAATTATTGCACATCATTACTTAGCAGCAATTGGTACCACATCCATACACACAGCATATACACATATACATATCATATATATACAGCAAAATACACTATTTATATACATCTATACATATATATAAATATATACAGCAAAATAATTTACATCCATCAAATCAAGTAGTAAAAATCACTCCACCAAGCTCTCTCATCTATTCTAGCCAATTGTGAGTGCTTACATCTCTGTCAAAGGTAGAGGCGATCTTTTTCTCACCTCTTGGCTTGCAAAAAGCCGCTGTGGTATTGCGCTCATCATGTACATGAGTGTCTGTAGTCAAACCTGACACCCTGCCTTTT